TGGATACCTAAACGACACAGGAATGGAAATGTCAAACAGCAAGAATAAAAAATGAGTATTTCTTCGCGAGAAAAGAATACTAAATTTCGCAGTATGAGGGTCTATCCACACTATCAGAATACAGGCGGATTCTTTATAGCTGTTTTTGAAAAAACAGGGCCAATAACTGATGTGACAACGAAGAGTGATGATAAATATATAGAGAATGAAGAGGAAACTCTATCTCTTTCGAGGGAGCCATCCGCTCCAGAGGATATGTCAGCTGCTCCAGAAGAAATCGAAAACGATGATTATGAAGCTTTTGAAATTGGAGAAAGTGACTTAATTAGTTCAACCGATATAACTGACTCGAATGATCCAGCCGATATAACTGACTCGAATGATCCAGCCGAGATACCTGATGTGGAAGGCGAGGCACTACCACAGAAACGGGTTAATGCTGATAGTAGCGACGTTCACAATAAACGACTAAAGGTCGATACTATTCTGACGTCCAGGCAATCTGAAAAATCAACAAGTCAAAATGATGGCAAGGGACAAAAGAGAGGGAAATCTGGCATCTCATATGAAGAACAGTTTATCTTTCTTGAGTCTGACAACGAAGATCTTTCCGTTATTAAGTTCGTATACTTATTTTATCATTACAATCTATTTATGACAGTAAAGGAAACCATAAACGTTTTTATCCAATCTATCCTTCCACAATTGCAAATACCATACTCCATCCTCGATCGTACATAGATCTTATTACTCCTTGTCCCCAGAATTCCCATCACATTTGTTCTTAGTACGTTCGGAAAATGCAAAGAACCGAACCCTTTACTTTGTCTCCCTATCTGTCAGATCGTTGCTGACGTCCCCTGACGCGTCTCGATTGCGAGTAATCAACACCGGTCTACGTGTATTTACAAAGCAAGATGTTCCGGAAGAGGTTAAATGTAGTTATAGATTGCATTCTGAAGGAGTAGCAGTGATTGCTCCCTGGATGGAAGGAGAAAAAAGGGTTGTAAGAGGAGAAATGGAAGACTTGGTTGTATTGTTAAGTGAACAGACACCCCGTTTTGAAAAGTTTAGAGACGAGATGAAAGAAAAGCTTTTGGCTATAGGTGAGCGAGGCTTGTATAGCTATGTGCGATTGTAAGTTTAATTCAAACTTGCTAAGACAAACAATGAATTTCTGTAGAGCAAGGTTGCATTTTGTTTATTGTATTAGCTCCGTTACAAGCATCGACTTCAACGTGAGTACCTTGAACTGTGATGCAGTTGATTGAGAATGTTTGGCAGTTAATGGGATGTATGATATTTTTGTAGCGTTCCTTTACCTCCGATTATTCTTCCAATATGGCGCGGTAGATCCTCATTGAATTTGTTGTACAAGAAGGAAGAAAGACAGTAAGTTTTAACTGGTTATTTACAACGTAACGTAGACGATTGAGTTTTGAGTCTTATTAAATCGGCTGTATTATTCTTAGTGCACTGGAACTTAGAATTCAAAATTATATGGGAAAACCAATTGGAAGTAAGGATAAAAAAAAGGTCCATGATCAAAATTCATCGACAGAATGCAAAGAACTAGAGCGTAACAATACTGCTGACGAGCAAGTGAAAAAAGACATTGTTGAACCATGATGCAATCTGTAAAGGGAAAATAAAAATAGAGTCTCAGTATATATCTTATTCAACATGTACCCGAACATAATGTTTAGTATAATTCTTCCAACAATCTACAAACAGCATTATAAGACTTCATTTTGTCTGCCTCAAACACACCGGACAAGACGAGCAACCGATTTATTAGAGACCAAGGTCATAACATGATCCATAGTTATCAGGAACACATTTATTATATGACAAGAAATAATTCATGCAAAGATTCTTATGACCCCATATTTCTTTAAATATTAAGCTTGGTGCGACGCCAATGTCGACGCTTGGCATTATATCTGTTTGGAATGGGAAAATGTTATTAATTAAAGAGACATAAAAGTTTGCCCTGAATTTTAGCTCAGCGCAAGTAAACTTTTCATTTCTCCAAATTATTACGTAAAATACCTGATTTTGCAGCCAGTTCGTGCCCTGATCCAATGAGGAATCGGTCGATTTTGTTTTTGCTTTTTACCAAGCACACGCTTGATCCTAAAGGTCTTATGAGAAGGCTAGGGAAAAGACAGCGGAAACAAACTATTGTTAATACAGGCGACTTCCTGGGCTGAATTCGTAATCAACTCGTTTCAAAAACAACAGTAAAGAGCAAGGGAAACAGTTTACCATTGCTAAGACCAAGACTCTGTTATCTGCTGAATAACAAACTTGGCTAATTGCGGTAGGAAGAGGAAATTAAAAATTTTTTCGCATTTTTCTGCTAAAATCGATATCACATGATCATTGAACACAAATCATTCTTGTGATAGAATTATTATACCAACTTTTTCACGCATTTTAAAGCAAGAAAAATATGACAATTCCAAGAATACTATTGAAACACTTTTCGCAACCTTTATTGACTTCAAGATGTTATTCAAACCATATTTTCCTTTGCAAATCAACAACTGGACATTCATCGTTAAGATGTGAACTGACGGTATCGAAACAGGTGAAACAACTTATAATATTGAAATTCTAATACTTTATTAGGTATATAATTACCATCTAATATTTCTTTCTTGATAATCACAGTTTGCACATTTTATGCCCAAATCAAAGAGACTATCATTCACAAATTCATCTTTTAAATTATGTTATCTTAACTCTCCGTCTCTTATTACAATTCGATCTCTAGCTACATCAGCATCGTTGCCACCGCGACGTCCGCAATCCTCTTCAAAAAATTCCGCTCCATCTCGTGGCATTCCGTTGTATCGAAACAAATCAATGCTTATGTATACAACATCGGTACTGATTTTACTTGTCGGTCTAACTTATGCCAGTGTCCCCCTCTACCGAATGTTCTGTTCATCCACGGGATTTATTGGAACACCAATCACTGATGCTTCTCGATTTACAGCGGATAAGCTTATTCCGGATTCGTCCTCCTCGCGTATAAAAGTCACATTTACTGCAAATACATCGCAAGCACTCCAATGGAAATTTGTTCCAGAACAGCGTGAAGTACATGTACTTCCCGGAGAAACTGCCTTGGCATTCTATAAAGCGAAGAATACGTCACAAGAAGATATTATTGGAATAGCTACATATAATGTAACACCTGACAGAGCAGGACAATATTTCAACAAAATACAATGCTTTTGCTTTGAAGAGCAGAAGTTGAAAGCTGGCGAGGAAGTTGATATGCCCGTGTTTTTCTTTTTAGACCCTGAGATTGCAAAGGATCCATTTACAAAAAATATCAGGACAGTTACTTTATCTTATACGTTCTTCAAGGTAATTCGAGACCTGCTAACTGTTGCAAATTATACTTTTATGGTGTTGTCAGAGAATTAACGTACTGATGCTTTCCATGGCTTGTTTAGGCACGATATAACAGTAAAGGGTCTCTTGTGCCGATTCCCGTAAAATAAAAATAAACCACAAAGGTGATATGGAAACATTTTTATTGTTTATGGAAGAAAATTCGGAGTTCCAGAAATCATATGCGAGATGATGATTTCGGTGTTGTGATGTTGTGGTGAACCGCATTATGCATTAAAACTCTCATCGTCTATCAAGTTTTCTTCCAATGTTCCATCCCATCTTCCTCAACCTCTTTACCAACGGCGGCGTCACTGCAGCAGTCAATCCCAACCTTAGAGGCACCAATACTTTATGGATTCCATACGCGATAACAAATATACTGGCCCATGACGGTGGCTTTCCTTCTCTCTCCGCCTCTCTCATTTTTTCCAACTCTCTCGTCTCGGTTCCCGATGTGTCTTCATTCGCATTCTTTTCATCTGTATTTCTATTTCTCCATATCGTAATCCACCCACCAAAATTCTCCATCATCCAGTCTTCAGCTTTTTTAACTCTTTCTGTTCCCGCTGTGCGTACTGCAACAAACGTTATGCCAAGATCGATGGTCGAAATAGCAACATAGACGAAAACTGCGCCAAGACCATACTGACGAGTTAGTTGTTTGAGGCGATCAGCCATTGAGAGATGAGTTTGGGAGGACGTAGCAGTGTTGTTGGTTGCTGAATGAGTTGATGGGGTGGAATATTGACGGAAGAAGGGAGGAAAAATTGGGCGTAGTCGTACTTTCTGACAACATTCTTTAGTGATTATTGCCGGATGAAAACGCGACTTTTTAATAATGTTTGGGATACTGGAAGCTGTATTATCATTATAATGTCCATGAGACCTAAAATTGTGTAAAAAAGTTTTTGACAAATTTGGTGCATTGAATCCAGTTTGTAGGTTGAAGAGCAGTCTAAGAGAGTTCCTGATGGTCGTTTGTTGTATGATACTGGAAGGGACGGCTTTTAACATAGTTTTAGAAAGACTGTACTCGACACAGCACGGTTTAGAAAATTTTCCCTCTGAGTTCTCTGTCGATCTGTGGTTTTAACTTCCTCGAAAAATCGTGTATGACAGAAATTTAACTGGCAGGATATGTAACACGGAAGTCACGCCCACGCAACAAAAACTGGGAATACAGTGACTGTATAGAAGGGAGACTTACATTAGTCATGTGACTTGTGTTATTATAATTCTGTTATTTTATTAGATAAAAATTAAAATCAATGATATTGACATCAGTATCTAACCAGCACTAAAATAAGCACCAATGTTTTGTTGACGCTCTGATTGAAGGCTTTGAGGTTAAGTAATCGGGTGACTGTGACTATAATAAGATTGTGACTGTAAAGGAGGCAAAGCACTATGAAAATGACTGGGACCAGAACAGCCCGTGACTGTATAGGAGGTGTGACTATATAGGAGGTAACTGTAGGGGAGGTTGACTGTATTAATAATAATATCGTATAGTTTCGAAATAAGCGCACCCTCCGAAAATGAACACCCCCCTCAAAGGTTTTACCTCCGAAAATAAACATCTCCCCAAAATTTTTGTGTACGTAATTTCATTATCAAAATAGCAACTTCCAAGAAGTTTGCTTGTAATAGAATAAAAGTTGTTTCACGCTTGATCGATCTGACTTATCTGACTTGAGTTAATTGTTTAGAATTTGGCGCAAAGCACTTGGAAGTATTTAAATCATTTAGACAAGGCCTAATACTAATTAACTTTATTGATATAAATAAATTTTTCAATACCTATGTTCATTGTATTATTTAAACGTTTCCTGTCTTTTCGTCATTAATATTCTCGCGTTTTTTCTTGTCATTAAATGTGATTACTAAATTTGTTACACAAAGGGCTAACTCTCCGAAAATAAGAGGTGCTTCTTTTTGGAACTATACGGTATTCGAATTCTCTCACCCGCCTCGGATAAATTGTAACGCATCAATAGTAGGAGATACTACTATTTCTCCGGATATGTATTTCTTGAACTCTCCTATTTTTTGAACGTTTCCACAACAACTACAAGTTTTTGAAGCATAGGCCTCATTTTGGATAATAACATAGACTTTAATTCTTCTGCTTTAGCCACCAGAATTAATAATGGGTCCAACAGAGCATTTTACGAACGGCTTTTCGTGTTAAATTTTGGGTTTTCGTCGGGTGACTCTGCTTCCTTGCTTGACTGCAGGGAAAATTCGTACTCGTCGGAAGTCACCTGTTGATGAAAACCATGAGTTTTGTAGTATGTGGAAAATGGATGAAGTCACGGCAGAGTCGGACGCAATGGTTAATCACAGATTTCTGTGACTTTTCCGCCAATAAGGTCTTACGTTCGTAGGTTGGGGCTAGGGTTAGGTATCCCGTCTTGATTGTGTCATTCTATACCATTATTATAAAAATTCGACCATATGTGTGACTATTACTATATACATATACTAGGAAACGGAACCGTTGTGAGTCCGGAGCAATCAATAACGTCATCATCAATCACAATCATTGGTCGAAATCATGTGCCGCACAGAGAAATTCAATTTTTCACAGTGCGTAGACAGTAATAGTCCTTCGCTTTGCTCCGGCAACTAATACTTTATTGTTATTTGCTATTTTACAAATGTGAATTATGTACATACATTACAGCATTATAAACATGGCCATCTATGCAGATGTTTATTTACAAAGAGTGAATTATATACAATAAATGAAGTATTATTATCATATTATACATTATATCTATCTACTAAATAATGTGTATATATACATGCATGTGTCTCACTATCATTGATTGGTATTAGTATGTGCAGATAAATTCTATTGATGATTCAAGTTTTTCTCGCATTCAATTTACCTGTTAAGATAGTTAAGATTCATTAAATAAAAACCATATGTAAAAAGTTCATTTCATAATAATAATATTTTATATTCATTTACATAAATATAGTTTGAAAGTTTATGAACCTGATATGATGAAACAAATGCCTGACAAGGAATACTTTGGGATTTTCAGATGGGAGTATTTTTCGCAGTAATGCAAGCCTCACCAATCCGTTAAGATCAACAATTTCAAATTTCGAAGTGTAATGTGGACTGTGGAATTTTGATACTTCGGAACATGCTGACAATTCATATACCTCTAGGCAATCCATGCCTACTAATACTAAATTCGAAATATCCATCTTCAAATCTAAATGGTCTGGATATTCATATTTTACATGTCACCGGTTTTCTTCGCGAGGCGGCTGCGTCCCCTCACCGTGACAATAGGGCTCTGTAATGTCGATGCTTAGTGA